GACACCAACACTGCAAAAAGTGTATGATGAAGTTATTGATGAACCAGATTTATTTATAAATAAAGCTTCTGGGTCTGTTAAAGATGAGAGAAACAGTACAAAAAGACAAATAAATTTGAAGAGAAAAGGAACTAGAACTGATGTACTGGCGTATAGTTTACAAACAAAATTTTATGAAAATTATATTCAAATTAATATTCAAAATTTGCTGAGCAAAAGGAAGAACGATCTACTTGAGGAAAAATAAGCTGCTCAAGAGTACTTACTAATAAATAATAGTAGAAAATCAAACATTTATTTAACAGGGATTAGAAGCTAAATGTGTTAAGGGTTTTTATTGTTATTTTTAATATTTTTATTATTATACAGACTGAATGTTTTTAAATAATTATGTATTAATAAGTTTGTTTTGTACAACAAAGAAATGTGTTGAGGTTTATTTTATTATTATTCAGACTGAATTTGTTTTTAAATATTTATGTATTAATAAGTTTGTTTTTGTACACAAAGAAATGTGTTTGAGGTTTATTTTATTATTATTCATAGACTGAATTTGTTGTTTTAAATATTTATGTATTAATAAGTTTGTTTTGTACACAAAGAAATGTGTTTGAGGTTTATTTATTATTATTCAGACTGAATTTGTTGTTTTAAATATTATGTATTAATAAGTTTGTTTTGTACACAAAGAAATGTTTGAGGTTTATTTTATTATTATTCAGACTGAATTTGTTGTTTAAATATTTATGTATTAATAAGTTGTTTGTACACAAAGAAATGTGTTTGAGGTTTATTTATTATATTCAGACTGAATTTGTTGTTTTAAATATTTATGTATTAATAAGTTTGTTTTGTACACAAAGAAATGTGTTTGAGGTTTATTTTATTATTATTCAGACTGAATTTGTTTTTTAAATGATATAAAATGTATGGTAAATTTTAATGAAATTGTTTAAATATTTGTAACCACAATCAAGGAAAGAAATAAAGATTCTCAAATTTAAATATAATGTTATGTAATATTTTCTTAATTTTTGAATAAACATTCTAAATTAATTAGACTTTTACTTAATAAAATAAATAAAACTACACACAAAACATACAAATTAAACTGTTGTTTTATTTAAGCTATGGAAACATTCTTTGCATTAAATAGTTTCTGTAGGTTGCTCCTTCAGGGACATCTCCTTCAGCATTGTCATCATCCAGTTGAATGTCATCGCCATCATTAATTACATCCTCATTTTCAATTATTATTTGAAATTCATCGTCAATTGCCAAGTTATGCAATACACAACAAGCTCTGATGAAATGTACTATATGCTCAATTTTTCGTAGCTTGCAGTGGTAAAGTTGCCTAAACTTCTGCTTGAGCAAACCAAAACAATGTTCTATAACGTACCGACATGATGATAGTGTTTTGTTGAAGTTAATTTGTTGACGGCTCAATCTACCATTATCCTTGAATGGTGTAATAAGATTGCGTAAGCAAGGATAAGCACTATCTCCAAGAATCACATTCTCCTGACATAGAATTCCCAAGTTAGTAGCTAATGGTGACCTCCTAAAAACTCTGGCATCATGGACTGACCCAGGAAACCCGATAAATATGCTTCTTATCTTATTTCTATGATCACAAACAGCTTGCATCTGTAAACAATATACTTATAATTAAAATTCTGTAAGAAAAATAATACATACAAAAAAATACATACGTGAATAGAAAAATATTTTTTTCTATTATAATAGGAATCTGGGTCTGAGGAAGGCTTGTCAATACGTATATGACTTCCATCAATAGCCCCAATGACATTAGAGAATCCTTTCATTTGGAAAAAGTTCCTTGTTTCCTGTTTTTCTTCCTCATTTGGCCAAGTTATTATGGTACTAGCCATACGGCTTATAACATGTGTCAGACGTCTCACAACTCTGAACAGGCTGCTTATTGTTATATTAAACCTGTCAGCAACATCACGGAAAGAGGCAGTCTGATGTCCAGCAAACCAAAGAAAAATTAAAATCTAAAAAACAATTTAAGATAAGTTTCAGAATCAAAATAATAATAATCATTGTTGTTAAAGCAATACCTTCATAATATTGTTACGTGGTATAATACGGTAACTATTAAATTGTTGTCTATCACTGGTATACTGGTGTATCCGTAGTGATAGATTTATACCAAACGGGGGAATATTTGAGAGGATTTAGATATTGAACAAGACACTTATTTAATTAGTAATAGATATTTCAACTGTAATATTGTAATAGTTGAAGTAATTGTAATATTGTAATTGTAGTGATTGTAATATTGTATTTGTATTAATTGTAATATTGTAATTGTAGTGATTGTAATATTAGAATTTAACTCTTATCTTAGGACTTTGGGTTAGAGAAAATAAGTAACTTGATAGTGACTTACTTGGTTGTAGGCAGGTATTTTTCCATGTCCTCCAGTTGTGTCATTAAATTCCGGACTGGCCTCAAAGTGTATGGTCAAATTGTTTGCAATGTGGCGTCTAACACGGAAATGTTCCAAAAACTCTAAGTCATTGTATCTAAAAAAAAAAACTAATAATTTATGTTGCCAAATAAATATTCAGCAACAAATTTACCAAAACTACCCCTAGGTTTTAGAAAAATAAAAAAGTTACAATTTAAACCAGAGAGGGAATGTTTGCTTACCATGTGTTAAATATTCAACAAGGAAAATTTAAATACATAGCTTACTTACCTTGCTATAGTCTCAAAATAATTCTGATTTTTCGGTCTTGTTCTGTCTTCCAAATAAACTTCGTCGTCGCTATCAAATACAAATTCATCGTCGGACGATAATGAAGAGGACGAGGAGTCGAAAAATTCCAAATCCATCTCAAAATGTCAATCAATAAATAAAATAAAAATATAAAAAAGTAGTTTAAGCTAACTAGCTAACTGTCAAAACAAGATAATATTAATTATTATCACAATAATTAATATTTTGCATTGTACGCATGCGCGAAACATTTGACAGAACGTATAACTCGCAACAGAAAATTATTGTTTCCAACAAGTCGATAACATGTTGCAGCACTGATGGAACAGAAAACATTTTGTTGGGTGTTTTAAATTTGCTCTGCTGGAACACGTTTTTGACATTGCGCATGCGCTGAACGTTTATAACCACTTGCAACACTATGCTGGAACAAACCTAATAACTGTATTTAACGTTGTTGATAGATAAGAAAACAGAAATATT